ACACGCATTATCTCATTTTCACTCAGCATAATTGCAGTACCTTCTTACACACCTCCTCTTCATTTTACTTCTTTTCCCCTCTCCCCTTCTCCTTCTTCTTCATCACTAGCATTTGTTGAGCATATGTGCCCCATGCCATTCTCCACAATCGGTAAGCTCAAATGGTCCCTGAAACCCATAGATTCTAGACCAGGGACCAGTCAGCACGTGAGAGAGATAGGTGATGATGCCTCAGTTCTGTTTTGATTGAGGTACTGATTGGACATCCAGTTTGAGATACTTCTTTTAGAACGAAACCAAGCTCTGAGTGAGAGAGAGAGAGAAAGAGAAGGAAAGAGAGAGAAGAAGGAGGAGGAGGAAGAGGAGAGGAAGAGGGATGGGTTATTTGAAAAACAATGATTTACTTAAGAAATGTTTATCTAGTTCTTAATATGTGCCAAGTACTACTTGAAATGCTTTAAAAACATTAATTTATTGATTTCTCAGAGCAATCTTATGTGACAGGTACAATTATTATCATCCTGATGTTTATTATCATGTTTTAACCATCATCATGATAGGAAACTGAGGTTCATATAGTCTTTAAGTAACTTGCTTGAGGTCACACAGCCAGTAAGTGGCAGAGCTGAGATTTGCACCCAGATCTCAGATTCAGATACTATGCTCGTAATGCTACCTAAGCTGCCAGGTGGGCTCCCTGCAGGAACATTATAAAGATGAAAAGATAGGTTGTTGAGAAACACTGGGGTTTCCCTCATATCTATGAATCTTAAATGATCTGGTGAGTAGTATGATCCTTATTCAACTTGCTCTCATCAAAGGAATTTAGGATATTTCATACATTTCAAAAATTTTGAGTAAAAGATATACACATTTATTTATGAGACTGGATGCAATATGTATCATCAAACTAGTTTTTGCTGAATAATCTGTTTCTGAACAGAATGAATCAATAACCTGGACTTATTTCCAATTTATGAGATGAATATTTAAACACCACTGTGTATTTCTGGTCATGCCATTTTCAAGGATATTGGTTCCATCCAACTCAAATATTCTTTTCCAGAAATCTGGGGACCACAGATCTATCTTCTCCAGCTTGTTCTATGAATAGTATCTCTTTAGAGTGTTGTCCCAAAGAACAAGAACCGCAGGTTAGCAGAAAGTCCAATTCCTCTTCCTCACCTCTCCCCACTTTGGTATTTGCATCCACTAGTGGTTCAAGCCTCTCCCTTGGTGCAGAGGAGGAGGTGTTTCCTTTTAAGTCCAAAGTGCTGAAACCGTTGGAACATGATATTCCTTCCTCTCTTGGGTTGAAGTTGGAAAACTCTACACCCACTACCCAAACCCTCAATTGTTTCCAAAAACACCCTCTGCAGCTGCTGTGCCACAATCCAGAGGCTTAGTGTTGAAGCTGAGTTAGAGCCTGGAGGAACCACTTCCTAAAACCCTGGCAGGTGGGAGAGATGCAACATCCCTGAACCATAGGCTCCTGCTTTCTTTACCTCACTCCTCACCGAAAGCCAGAGGGCTTTGCCTGCAGAACGTCCCTTGCTAAGCTTGGGGAGATGCAACTCAAGCCCAGTCTCCTGGCCTGTTCCTGTCCTGGGGCAGATCCCTGTCCAGACGGCTGAGGACACTCCTTTCCTCCTTAATTCTCAAAGCCAGGAGCTCCGCACTAAACATGACAACCTGCTAGCCTCACTTCTGTGGCCATTTCCTCCCTGGAAACCCATCTGTTCCCATGAAAAAGTGACTGGTTCCCTGCAGCAACCTGGAAACACACGGTGCTGGGAGGGAAGCCATACCCCACTGGCCCATAGTGGGGACCGAGGCCGGGTTCAGCCACAGCACTCTGCTCTCTGTCCTCGGGAGCTTGTGGAAGTCCTTAGTTAGAATGATGATGACGATGTTGGTAATGGAAGTTAACATTCACTGAGTGTTTATTTTTTGTGCACATAATCAGCACTCAATGACTGGCCCTACAACCCACAAGGTAAATATACAGATTCTAAATGTACCTCATATCCTCACACATTTCTGGGGGATAAGTACTTACTATTATGTCTACTTTACAGACTTTGAAACTGAGTCTGAGTATGATGAAGTAACTTACCCAAGGCCTTTCAGCCAATAAGGATCAGATCTTTGAGGCTCAAACTGAGAGTCTCAAGTGTCACCTTCAGTCTTGATTTGATGTATTTTATTTAAAAAATGGGAGTCGGGAGAAAGAAAAAGTTAACCTTACCTGCCTATTTATCTAGCATACATTTTATAGGATCAAATAAAGTTACAATGCAGGCATAAGAGAACTAAATATTATGTAACTGTGAGGGCTTTTGTATATTTTTAATGTGGAATTTAAAGCTCTGGGTGATGCCACCTACCCACATTTACCCCTCCACAGTTGCCCACATACATGCCCCTAGGCTCTAGCCGTAACTATATGGTTCTACCTTGAAGTGCCCTTAACTCACCTGCCTGCCTCCTTGCCTTTGCTTCCACTCTTTCCACTGCCTGGAATACCCTCTCCCTATCACTGATTACTGACTTGCTTCCTTGCTCAAACACGACCCCCTCTATTCTAAAATAGTCTCCCTTTCCTCTTTTGCCCCAATAAATGTTGTACATCTCTCACGAAGTCACACTCAGCACTATGACTATAGCTAGTTGTCATCTATATCTTAGGCTTCTCTGCCTATGCCTTGCAGGTGGTCAATAAAATGTTTGTTAGCTTAATTCTGCTTCTCTTTTCTATGCCCTTCCCTGCCTGCCCCCAACACCTTGCACCTAATGCATCTCCTGGTATAGAGCAGGTACCCAGTGCATCCTGGGTAACATCCTGAGGTGCTTTAGGGCTGGCAAATTCAATGGGCAATCCTCTATAGGTCAAGGAGACTTAAACTCTTCTCTTCAGTTAAATCTGACGTCACAGGGAAGGTAGGCTGTACCCTGTTGGGTGGGGATCAGAGCCCAGGAAGAAAACATTTCCCAAAACGCAAACTATCAACCCATAGGGATACCCAGATGATTTTATGTGACACACAGGTGAACTTCTTTTTTTTTCAAAGTTTATAATTGCATAATCTCATTTGTATTAGAAAGAAATATAATAAGCACATCAAATCTATGATTTCATAAAGATTATTTAATAAAAGCATTTACATTTGAATAAAAATATGTTGATTTAGAGAAAAGCATCACAAAAATAATGACACAGAATATGACCAGAAGGTATGCTTGTGGGGCTTTGGGCTCAGGAGGCATGGGGACAGAGAAAACACTTCTGCTGAATGTGGAGGTGAAGATGGGGGTGAAGACGTGCCTGTTCTATAAGTCAGATCTGCTGGGGGCAGCCTGAGGAATTAACAGAATTATTTACAAAACTGTGTTACTGTGCAAAAACCTTTGTTTGAAAGGCAGACTGCAACTAGAGTGTTTTCTCATTACTATTGTTTCTTCATTGGAATGAAGAAATACGTTCACATCTCACGAATACGGCCTTAGGCACCAAGTTTCATGATGGCCAGGGGGTTTCACACACATTCCCAGGCCTGTCAGCTACCAAGTATCCAAATATGGGTTTGCTTTTCCTTTCTTTTTTTTTTTTCCTGCAAAGCACCACACTTTACAAAGAGGAAAAATACTTCAAAGGCAATCCCTTTCTCGCATACATTTCAGGGTTCCATTTGAGATCCACATTCATCTTCCTTATCCAATTACGTGATCAAAGCAGAAGGGTTTGGCCTACTTTGGCGGTTTAAAGACATCCAGGGAAAAGCTAAAAACATTTAAAACTACCTTTTCTATGCCAGACATCTTCCTAGAGGAGAATTGGAATCCACTCCCCCTGCTTCCTCTTAACTAGTCTCTAGACACAAAAAGTCAGGTGAGAGAGTTAACGTGCTCTAAACATCCAACCCATAAAAGATTCAGTTACATTTCTGTAAAATTCAATCTAATCTTAAGTCAGTGTGTCTAGTGTACTGTTTGCTCTCTCCACAGCTACAAAGTCCCTTCCAGAAGCTGCTGAGAAACTCTTGTTTTTGTCTGATTAATTTTAAAGACCTTATATTAAAATAAAAACTGCAACAACAAAAAAATCTGAACTGTTAATTCATTAGTCTCCCCAAAGCTACTGGCTCTAGCAATCTGTTCATTTTAGTGCTATAATATGGAGTCCATGTTTCCTAAAATAAGACATACCTTGTCCTTTACATGAATAGTCTGGGATTTGAGGCCTTGGTTAAAAAAAAAATAGCAAATATGAAGTCCTCAAAAATATTTAAGTGAAAAGACTGCCTATTGGTGGATTGATTTTTCTTCTATGGATATAAATCTGTTGGCAACCACCAGAATCGGGGTATGAAAAATGACCCGAGGCAGCTGCTGCCATTTGTTTCAGTGGGAAAATGAGGGTTTTGTCTCTCCCCAGGGGTTAATGCTGTGATGCTCTGAACGTCATCTGGGCTCTGTTTCTGAAGGGTTACACTGGAGAGGAGCAATGCTTTGTGGTTTATGACAAGATCACAGCAGAATATTTTGTGCATGCTGTGATTTGTATCGCCCATTTGTGCACAGGCCATAAAAGAGCACTTTTTATCAGGAACATTTGTGAATATATAACAGCGCTGAAGACATATGGCCACTAAATAATTCACAGTTATCTATCTCCTCAGCAGATTCCTTATACACCTACCATGTTTTAATGCCTAGTTTGCTCAGAAACAATATTCTTTATGACCCTTCCAATATAAAAATGTTTACTGACTGGCAGCAATATATGGATACCATGGGATTGGGCTGTAAGGAAGGGGAGAGCTTTCTGCTTTTTCTATCTCTCTTGGTCCTCATTTGTTTCCCCTGAACTTTTCCAGACGGCACCTAATCTCACAGGAGAAGGTGTCCTCCCCCGGAAACTGGGTGCTAAATTGTAACTTCTAGGGTTTGGGCCACGAGATGGAAGTCACTGACTAACCTTCACCCTCTTCTCTTTTCAGTTCTATATCCATTTACAGTCCCAAGGAGAATCCAAATGCATTTGATGCTGCAGCATTCTTCCAGTCCGTGGGGAATTTCCTGGGGATCTTCGCCGGCTCGTTTGCAATGGGGTCTGCGTATGCTGTTGTCACAGCACTGATATCCTTTGTCTGGATGTGGAAAGCTGGGGACTGTGTGGGGCTGTTAAGAGCAGTCAATGTCCCTGGAATGTTTCTGTTGATGGACAAACTCCAGGCCAGAAAATGGCTAGATAGTCTTGTTTAAGTGCAATCCAGCACCACTGGGGCCATCTTGATTCTGAGTCATCCCTCAAGGCATAGGTACCAGTGGAAGAGGGGCCCAGGCTCTTTTTCTGTCTAAGGACAGTTCTAGCACTGCTGCTGATACTCTCTGATTCTAGAATATCAACAGTTTTAAAAATTATCACCTGAGAAAATAGGTGGGAAGGGGGGGCATCAGGATTAACTACATTAGGGTCAAGAGGAAGAACTAAAATCCAAGGCCAAGGATAAAACAGGATTGACTGTGAATGATAAACTAAGTATTTTCTGCCTCCTTCTCAAACTTGTATCAATCACTAGTTCACAGGGTTGGCTGAGCCAATGATCACTATGGGTTTAAACAAGCATCCATAGCTATTTTCTGGAAAGAGAACAGCAAGCAATGCAGAAATGATGTTTGCTGTTATCTGGGCAGTCATCTCATTTCCTCTTTTCAGTAGAGAGGTGAGAGGATGGGTAGAGTTCCTAGAGGAGTCAAGCCAGGGAAAGGAGCTGGTCTGGTGGGTTATTCACTCAGAGGAGTTGGATGGACCAAAAATAAGTCAGATTTGAGGAGGAAAGCCAAAAGGCTAACGTCGAGTATGAGGACTTAACAGAGGTCGCAAAGAAGAGACCGAGCAAAGGATCAAAGACCTTGGGGAAAAGAGAAGGAAGAAAGAAGACAGGTGCAAGAGGGGTCAGGGATTAAGGGAAAGAAAGTGAAATGTTGAGGTCTTTTTGCATGAGAGCTGGTCCAGCAGTTGACTGAAAACTGCTAAAAGACTAGGTTCTATGAAGGGTTTCTAAGACAAGTCAGAAGATGAATAAAACATGGACCCTGCCTTCAATGGGAAAAAGGGTGGAGAGAAGGAAGAGATGGGGGTGGGGCCTCAGCCAAACCTCCTTTGGGTATAGGCTCCAGGGCTCTGGACTAGCATGGGGCTAGCTCAGAACCGAATGGCTTTCTGGAGGCAATAGAAGGAGAACACCCTATGTCCAGGGGATGCTCTGCTATTCAAATCGGCCTGAGCCTTCTCCTTACAGCACATTAGAAGAGAGAATTCAGAGGAACAAACGCCACTAGAAGCAAAGCCTTTCCTCCAAGTAACAAGAAAGGACTCTGGAAGAGTCCAAGGGCAGCCCATTTTTTCCTCCAGATGAAGAATTGTTTCCAGATCCTCACTGAATCTTTTTTCAGAAAATGTTTTACAGAGAAAATTAATTTAAATCAGACTAATATAAAAACTTACATATCCCTTGTCGTATACACCATACTCTTCTGAGCACTCGACATATTGTAACTGGTTTATATACCTAGGGGATCAGTTGCATTATTATGCCCACTTTCAGACAGGGAAACCAAGGCACAGAGCCCAAGATAGAGTTGGCTTCTAGTAGCCATATTCCCAACCATGACATTACCCTTGGTATTTTGTGCTTTCTAAGTCCTAAGACTTTACAAAACATTTTTAATATACTTCATCTCATTTTACTCTCCACACTGCGTGGGTAGGTATTATTCTTATCGCCAGTTCACCTAGGATACCAATAAGGCTCAGAGAGATAGACATACTGCTCAGAAATCACACAGCCAGTGACTTAGAGAACTGGGACTCAAACCCAGATCTTCCACCCCAGAAGTCATGCTTTTTGCTTCCCTGCCCTGCTGCTAAACATCTCTTGATGTGGAATTTTCTTTAGATTTTGCTCTAGAAGCACAAAAATGCAACATTGCATCTCCTTTTCTGTCAAGGCATTTTCAGCCTAACAGTGGACACAGTTGCAGTGTAGTCCTTTCCCATCCATCACCTGCTCCTAATCATCTCCTCATAACCCATTCTCTGCATGACTCAGATCACTGTGCCTTTGCTCTATTTGCAATTTATAGACTATTGACCAAGTGTCATCCTGGCCAAAATGAACCATTGCTCGCCAAAGGGCATCTTGCTTGACCTAGAAATAATATACTTTATCCTCCATCCTACTTATACAGAGAGAGCATAGGCAGCTTCCCTATCACTGAACATGAATGCTTCTCCTCATCCAATTTCCATCCCCAGGAGAGAAGTTTCTTCAAGGTGATCTGTCCACAGACCAGCACTCCCTGGAGAGCAGTGGCCTCCTTCGGTGTTTATGCCCTGGTTGGATCTCTTCCAGCCACAATCTCCTTGACTTTTTCCCCCTAGATCTGCCAGTCTCCTGAGGGGCACACTCCAAGAGCTGAGGCCAAATTTAAGAAGTTTTTTGCCTGCACTTAGCTGATTTTATCCTCTTAGTAAGACATCTTTTTATTCTGAACACCAGTTTGAATTTTTGCAAGAGTGTTCAGCCCCCAGTGAAGCATGAAACTCATGCTGGCCTTCAAAGTAAGTCTCAGTGAGAGTTACAGCCTCCCAGTCAGGTCTGAAAATCAGTTCTCTCATCTAAAACTATCACAACTAGATTAGCTTCTCTCAGCCAAGAAGGAGATTTATCTGTAAAAGCAGTTGTTGTTTCCCTTAACACGTCTTTGTCACTTGACCAAATTTACCAAACTGTGTGAGTTCCCGATGCTGGAAACCGGCCTGTTTTTCCTCCTGTCTTGGAGCGCCTTCCTGTCTGCTGAGGCTGCTGGCCTAACAGGTCAGTACTTTGTTCTGTGCAGCAAACTGGGCATGTGAATACATGTGTTTCCCACCCTACCCCCTACCCCGTGCCCCACTCCCTGCACAGCAGGTGAAATGAAGTCTCTGTTCTATAGGTTTGTGTCAGAATCAGTCTCTCTTGGGTACCCTGGGGAGAAAAAAATTCATCCATTTACCCAATAGCTCAATGAGAAGTCTCCAAAGTGCCATTTCCTCTTCTCTCCTCGTGGGTCAGGAAGGGGATGTTGAAATCTACAAATGACTGATGTGTGGAGGTGATGGATGATTTTACAAATGGGAGTCTCTGCTCAGTGTGAGTGGATGCACAGCTGCTTTGTGGGAAAGGGTGGTGGCTTTCCATTGGCTATTTACAGCTATGCCTGCATAAGCAGCCTGTCTGGGGTGTGCACATCTCCACACACAACAGTGTTCACAATCTTTGCATTCACTCCATCGCAGGCCAGATACCAGAGAGCTAATGTGTTTAGTTTAGTATCTCCTACTGCAGAAAGTCTGTATGTAGAGTCCTCCGAGGTGGAATAGTTGATAGACAAAGAGGCAGTCCCTAAGGTTCCAGGGCCACGCATCCTGTATCTGGATTTGGCAATTAGATTGCCTTGCTGCAACAGCAAGGGTTTGTGCTTGGATGGCTGCAACAATTGGGTGCTTTTCCATGTAGAAGAATCACTGCAGCTCTGAGCAAAATGTCAAAGCTATTTCTCTCCTTTGGCCTAGTTCCCCACTTCTCCCAGGTTTCAATCCTAGATCCCTTGCTACTCACTAACTACACCTTAATTGACATTCAAGTGGTGAGATGCCCCCCCCCCCCCGCCCCTGTCTCCCAAAGTGCTAGCCGGGAACAAAGTATGTCTCCCTGGGTGTTTGAATTTGAATAGAGGATACTTTAAGTGTAAATAATAATAAAAGATGACATATGTTGAACATGTACCATGAGCCAGGTGCTGGCTAACTGCCTTTTGTGAATGTTCTCATTAATTTACAGGAAGACTCAAAGTTAAGGATTATGCCCAGTTTACTCAGCCAACAGTAAGTGGTGGAACTGGGATTGAAAACTAGGAGATCTGATTCCAGAGCCTGGGCTCATGGGTACCAAGCGTTGTTATCTTGAATGAAATTCTATTTATGAAATATAAGACAAGCCCCCAAGAGTAGGAAGATGTTTGGGGCCCAGGAGCCTGCCAGGCTCACCTGCTTCTAAGTTGGTTTTGTCCCTTCTGGGAAGCCAGAGCAAATCTTTGTTGCCATGGTAACCTGTTGCTCTGGGCAGCTGACTCACCTGACTTCATAGCCACAGGAACCAAGCTATTCCCACAGGCTCTGAGTGTGTCTGTTGCTGAATCAGATAGCCACCCTGCCAGTTCTTATGACACTATAATCAAGACTACATTACCAGAGTCCACCCCACCAGGCCCTTGTATCATTTCAAGTCATTCCAGCATGACATCCATTATATTAGTGCCTTACCATGTTATTAGAGAGGTTACTGAAGAGCTTATGCATTCCAGAGAAAGAGAATGCTAGTGTCCCTTAAATGAAATAAGGCAGGAAACAGTTTACATCTGTCTTTCAAAAAATTGTGGTCCCCTTTCTTCCACATTCTGTGCCCTTTTCAGCACTTAACATGTTGTAAAATGATGCAAGTAATGTTAACAGTAAGAATAGCTGTTTGACCTTTCAGAAAGGTAAAAAAAAAATCTTAATTCACTTGGCATTTTTTAGTCTCCTGTTGAACATTGTAATAAATACACACACACACACACATACACATCCCAATGCCTAAGATTGTTTCTGTGTGAAAATTGTCTTTCTATTTCCTGGTCCATTTCAGCAAGATCTTGTTTTCTTAACTCATTTAAAGGTTGTAGTTCACTTACAAATCTCTAGCTTGTCTGTGCCTTGCTCTTTTGCCACCCCTTTCAACCTGGAATCTTTATTGGATACCGTGCAGCCTGCCACTAAGGAGCTAGCGTCATGGGATGGGTGGATGCAGGTATGGGCCTCATAGCAGGAAGACTCAGACTTCCATGGCTGCACCCAGTGGTGCACTAGTCCAGAACAGTCCTCCAGATTAAGCAACATGCTCAACAGGCGTTTGATACAAACCAAACTTTAGGTGTGAGCATTTTGTCCTGCCAAAGACCAAGCCTGCTTAGTCCAAATGGCTTATGTGTTTGTTTGTTTATTATTTAATCCTTGCCTATTTCTAAATTGGATTTGAGACAACTCATAACAGGAGCCATGCACATCATGGGACCATTTAGTTGAGGATAGACACTCAAGTGCTTTGGGACAGAGTTTTTCTGCAAAATTAGGCAGCTGTTCATTGCTGTGGCTTGGCAATAAATATAGCTCTGAGCTTTCTGGCAGCCAAAGCCAAAAGGGAAACTTGATGAGTTATGTAGGAACAATACAGTATTATAAACAGAAGTCATACTTATTTATAAAATGGGCAACCTTGTTTTCTAAAATTTTAGGGAAATTTATCACATGCATATTTATATAAGGACCTTTGAGCACTATAACAGACAATGTATTGTCTTAGGGAAGATGGAAATCCATTCTTCATGTAGTCATTTCCCATATCAACCATCAATAAAATCTGAGGGTGTGGTATTAAATTACAATTCTCTGCTGATATTTCATGTAATAAGAAAATCCTTCTAGTTCTAATCCATAAGTAAACTAATATAGCCCAAAGCTAAAATCTAGAACACTTTTTAAAAAGTGCTTAACAAATGAATATATGAGAATGAATATAGCAAAATGAATGAACTGAGTTAACAAATAGTTTATGAGTAACTGTAGCAGTAACCAGCAATCCCAAGTCCTTGCATGGATTCACTAATAACGCATCATGTAAGTTCTAGGAAAGGTGCACAATAGTGTCTCAACACAATTCCACCAGCCCTTTCGGTGCTAAGTGGGTGCTCAAGGATGCCCACTAGGCCACCCCCACATCACCCCTCTTACCGGTTCCATGAATTGGGTTTTCACACAAGATTTCATTTGAAAAAAAAGATTTCTGTTGTTTTAAACAAAATACATCTGTTTTTAAGAACATTTTTAAATTTTTTTCTTACTGCCAAGGTAAGATATACACATTGTAGAAAATTTGTAAAATGAAGATTCACAGAAGGAAATAAAATTAGAGTTACCTATATTCTCACTGCCTATTAATAACTGTTTTTAGTGTTTATCTGTGTCCATCTAATTATATGCATTTACATATACTTAATTAAACATATGCATGAATACATATATGTAATTATATTTTTATTTTTAAGTAACTTGCTTTTTTCATTCAGCGATTTATAATGGATTTTTTATGGCATTAAATATTCTTCTATATTACTATTTTTAATGGCTGCTTAGTACCGTATCATATTAATTATTCCCATAATTTATTATACCAACCTTTTGATTGTTTATAGTTTTCAACATTATTATGATTGTGACGGTAATCCTTATATATTAACATATGGATTTTTATTTATTTAACTGCCTTAAAATAAAACTTAGAGTTAATAAGAAGGCTAAAATTATAATGTCATCCAAGTTATCCTCCCGAAAATGTCTATCCTTTTGTATTTCCACCAGCAATGTAAGCACGAGCTCATTCACTCACATCTTCACCACACTGACTCATATTCATCCCTGCTAATTTGATAACCAAGTTCCATTTCATTCTGATTTAAATTTATTATATTTTCACCTAGGAAATCATTTTAATTATGTCATTGGCAATTTGTATTTCTCCTTTGGTGAACTATCTGTTTATGCCCTTTGTACTTTTTTCTACTGAGGCACTGATAGTTGTCACATTACATTTTAGAAGATCTTTATCTATTAAGAAAATTAACCTTTTAACTGTCCTGTAGGCTATAAATAGTCTCCAATTCATGGTTTTACCTTTCAAATATGTTTTGTTTGTTTAGGTTGATGTAGACATTTTCAAGTTTCATATGGTTAATTTTATCTCCTCCTTAAAAAGCCCAAGATTTTATTAATTTCTACTTAGAAAGCCCAGTATTTGTTGACAATAATGTGTACTTTCTTTTAATAGTTGTCTGGCTTTATTTTTGCATTGAAATCCAACTGGAATTTGTTTTGATATAAGGTGCAGAATATAGTGGAGATTTGATTCTATTCACTCATCCTAAGACCCTTCAACCTTAACCTATGAATTTATACTACAGTGTCCACGTGTGTAGATACATACATATATGTGCAAGTTCTGGCCTTTCCATTGTTCCACTGAGCTTTTGGTTTTGGTCTTTACTGTTTTCATCATTTCAGCTCCATGTTTCATTTTAATATCTAATAGATCCATTTCTTAACCCCTTCCCCCCTTTTCAAGGGCCTCTTTGCTATACTCATTTTTATTATTCCAGAATGACTTTGAAAATAGTTTCATTATGTTTCAAGCAGAAAATAACTTTAGGATGATGATTTGGGTTGTCTTAAGTTTTTAGATTAATTTGAGGAGAAGTGGTGTTTTTACAACGTTGAGTCTTCCTACCCAGGAATATGTTATATCTCTCCATTTATTCAAGTCATCTTTTATGGCCCTTAGTAAATTGTTATAGTTGTCTTCACATTAGACTTACAGATTTCTTGTTAAGTAGTTTTTAAGCTATTTTATATTTTGGCTTACTGTGATGAGTGGAAGCTTCTTCCATTATAGTTTCTTGACGGCTATAGTTTATTTATGTGCATATAGACTTCACTGTACTGTTTGACTTACTCTCTGCAGCTCTGAACTAGAGAACATGGGCTGATGTCTAGAATTAGGACTGACGGATCAAACTTATATTAGACTATCAGGCCCATGAGGGCTGTATCATCATTGGCAGTATGGCTGAAGCATGCTAGGCATTCAGTGTCTTTTGAGCAGTGAAATGAATGATTTTAGCTCAACAAAAGGAAATATTTCCAAAAGTTGAATAACAGACTATTTTATAAGGTAGTGAGTGCCTT